CTGTTGAATTTAAAAGGGGACTTCATGGAGACTGTTTTATTGTCTGTTTTACCACCAAGAATTTATATATTTTGTGGTTCAAATAATGCACACATTGTCAACGATGGTTATTGGTGGCAATTCAATACCATCAGGAATTCCAAATTTGGGGTGTGATGACAAAGGAAACCTTGTTTGGTGCAAACAGTTCATGGCAACACAATGGCTGTGAAACAGCACTACGGTGCTACATTGCCGCTGTGCTCCCACTGGTCTGCACTGGTCCAGCCAGGGAAGGGAAACACGCTCCTCAGGGGTCCATGGAACATGTGCTCTTCTAGCCAGATGGAAACTGGCTTCTACAGACCGAAATCCCAGTTCTTGATCCATGATTGGTCCAAATACTGCACTCCGACTGGTCAGAGCTGCGCAGCTCTGATTGGATGGGGAAATCCTCAGTTCTATTGGTTGAAATAGGACGCCAGTAACTTCTGTATAAGGGCTGGCCCAGATGAAAGAAACACAGGTTAGTGGCACAGAGGAGGAGAGTTCAGAGGTGCAAAGGTGCAGAGGCTTCTCCGTGAAGTGCAGTCTGTGTGAGAGGCCCCTGTGAAGAAATGGTTGCCAGGCTCTGCTCTGTGTTTCTATTTGAGCACAGGTAGCCACCAGGAGCCCTTCTTAGTCCTCCAGGTTCACAACATGCCCATACATACAGAGGCTTTTGTTTAAACATCTATAAGAAAACAATGAAAATTTAAGATTATGCCAGGAATCATCAATTTAATGACTGCTGGTTGAAGATATGCACTGACTTACATTTTGTTCTGAATTTCCTCCAACTGATATTAAAAAATAAAAACTGATAAAATCACAGTAAAACAGGAATAGAAAAGGGAAGAAAACATGGACAAGAAAAGTGATAACAGTTTTCAAAAGAAAAAAAGGTCGTGGAGGATTGGCAAATGGATTAGCAGTGTGGGGGAAAAAAACCCAAAACTATAAATGTGCAGAGGAGGGTTCCAATGTATAGATTTGACCTATAAAATCCTCCCGAAGTTGGGGTTTAAGAGTGGAAGGAGTAGAGGATTGAGATAGAAGACTAAAGAGGGGAATGGACTGAATAATCTATGCAAGGAGCAGTTAATCTGCCCCAGGCTCTTCCTTCATTCTGCACAACAGGCTTCTCCTCTGGACTGGTGACCTGCTTGTGGCACTCGTAGGCATGGCTAAATTGCAGATAACATGAGCGTTAAATTAAAAAGACTGCACACTGAAAAAAAAATCTACATGCTATGTAGCAAGACCACCAACTCCTTCTCAGTTTAGCCCAAGGATACTGCAGTCTGGTATCTACCCATCAGTAAACTGGAAGCCCCAGGACAAAGACTACAGATTCCCACAGATCCAGGTTTAGGAGGCATAGCCTAGACATCACATGTGAAAGATACCATCTGACCAGCCCACTAACACATAAAAATCTGCCAACAAAGTTTTAGTTTCACCTCTTTGATATCAAACAACAACAAATGAACACCAGACTTTTAAAGAAAGACTCCAAAAGTAAAGTCAGAGACAAAAACAAATGAAAGAAAATCTTCAGGGCATTCCCATTAGCTGGTCCCTCTGCTGGGAATGCCCTTCCCCATGTTTGCTCTCTTCATTCCTACACTTTATTCTGGACTCATTCAAATACAAATTAATAAGAGATATCTTTTCTTACCATTATACTAAAATAGTTTCACACTCATCCCACTGCCCAATTCGTCATTCTATTCCTTTACTTGAATTTATCTTTTCTTTATATATTAATCACTACATACATATTTTATATATTTGTTATCAATTTCCCCTAGCTTAAAATGAACACATAAGAGTTCACTTACTTTGGAGGATTTAAAAAAAATGTTTTCTTTTATTGATTTTTAGAGAGAGGAAGGGAGAGAGAACAAGAGATAGGAAACATCGATGAGAGAATGATTGGCTGCCTCCTGCATGCCCCCCACTGGGGATCAGGCCCATAACCTGGGCATGTGCCCTGACCAGGAATCAAACCAGTGACCTCTTAATGCACGGGTTGACGCTCAACCAATGAGCTGCACAGACCAGGCTGCGTTAGAGCATTTTAAATGCCAGGCTGAGTTAATGGAAAGGTACTAAAGGACATGTGATTAGGCCATCTGTGTTTGTTAATTGTCACTTCTTAAAAGTAGGTTTCTATTCACTCATAAGGACTGGGAGGGGGGCGGGTGCTTTCTTGATAATTGCATTTCAATGGGATGATTCCCAAGACCTTGAGAAAGACATTCTTATGTTTTATAAATTTACATCTCAAAGGAACAGAGAAAGAATTTACAATTGCAAGTTTTCTAAAGTAAATGTTCTAAGGAAAATGAGGTCAGAGGCCTATACTCAGGAAAGACAAGTTTAGTCAAGCCGAGGGGAATGTTAAATCCTCTTAGATCCAGAAAAGTGAGGATCCAACATAAGAGAGAAATAATGATGTTAAATGAAGTCCTATGTCCAATTTTATGCATCAAGTACATAGAGCCTGACAGAAGCAGAAGCCTGTGGGGTTCCAGGTCAGAGGTCCCCCAAAAAGGACAAGCAAACAAACAAAAGAATAGTTGATTGTTTCTGAAGTGTTAGAACATGTCGAAATTAATATTCAATTACTCCTCGCTGTTCTACCAGTCACGTTAAAAAGAATTAGTGATAAATATGCTACAGTGAAAAATATGCCACAAAAATGTAAAGAATGGAAAGATAAATGGAAAATCCCCAAACACTTGCAGATTAAACAACACATTTCTGAATAACATAACTCAAAGAAGAAATCTCAAGAGAAACTAAAAATTATTTTGAATTAAATAAAAATGAAAATACAGCCTATCACCCTTTGTTGGATACAGTGAAAGCAGGAATTAGAAGGGCATTTGTAGGATTGACTGCATATATTTAAAAAGAAGAAAGATCTAAAATCAATAACCTAAACTCAACCTGAAGATACTAGAAAAAGAAGAGCATTTTAAATGTAAAATATGCAGAAGAAAATAAATAATAAAAATTAGAGCAGAAATAGAAAATTAACAGGGAAAATCAAGTAAATCAAAAGCTAATTATTTGAAAATATTAGTCATATTGATAAGACCTTAACCAGGCTAAGAAGAAATTAGAGACCACACAAATTACTAGTGCCGGAAATGCAAGAGGGGTCATTACCATAGATCCCATGGGCGTTGAAAGGATAATGAAGGAATATTACCAACAACTCTGTTCTCACAAATTTTATAATCTCGATGAAATAGACAAATTTTTTAATGAAACAATCTGCCAAAATTCACCCAAGAAGAAACAAACAATTTGAATAATAAGGCTATATCTATTTTTTGAATTGAATTGCTAACTTTCCCAGACAAAAAACCAGGCCCATATGGGTTCACTGGTGAATTCTACCAAACATTTAAGAAATAAATTATATCAATTTCCTACAATCTCTTCCAAGAGATAGAATTAGATAGAAAACTTCCTAACTCACACCACTAACCTAATAGCAAAACTAGAGAAAGACGTTACAGGAAAGGAGAAGTGCAGATAAATACCTCTTCTGGAGATAGATGAAAATGCCCTAAACAACATATTAGCAAAATTACTCCAACAATGTACAAAAAGAGTTATGCACCACACCAAGCTGGATTTATCTCAGATATAACATACTGATTCAACATTCAGAAATCAAATAATTTAATAAGTGTAGGCACATTTTGTTTGCCGACTTAGCAAGTAGCTCGGGCCACAAGTTTTATTTTGAGACTTATCAGGCTGAGTCAAAAACTAACCTGCCGTATTTCCCAAGTTCCAAGGGCTACCTTGAAGCTTCTCTCAATTAGGGTTGAAGGGAAGAGAAATTATCTCTTCCCCCTCCAGTACCTTATGGATATGATGAGTCTCATAGCATGGCTCTTTCCAAAGGAATCCTCCTTCTAATCTCCAAATTCACTGATCACTTTTGTTCAGTCCTTTCATATATTCAGGGTAAGTGAGTGGTTCAAGATAAAAAACCTGATGTATGATATTTTCTGTGCAAGGTATATCTGATCAATCTAGCACCTTATTTTGGACTGAGCGTGGTTGGCATCTATCACTGAGATTCAAACCATTCCTTTTTCTCACCACTGTCTCAGTTAGAATTCATCTTTCCTGATGACTTGCTGAGTAGTAAAACTTATCTGATGCATTCCTTTTTGCCATTTTCTTCCTGGAAGACATTTGTCCATGTGTTATTGATAGTTCCATGTTTGTATATGTGATTATAAGCTTTCTAAGTACAAAAACTTCTTTTTATTCCATTTATAGCTGTACGTGAACGTGCTGAACTTCATCCAAAGAGTTGTTGACATATTTTCTCTACCTAGTTTGCTAGTGATATTTCTTAAGAAATGTTATGACTAATTTTATAGTACAAGTAGACAAGATTGAAAAGACCTGAAAATTTTGCTAAAATCATAGGAAGAGGAAGGAAAACTAGTACTATTATATTGTATTAAGTAAAGATTTTACAAATTTTAGTATTAGCCACAAAGTTATGTTAAATTTTTCTGAATTGAAGTAAAACATTATTTCAAATGAACAAAATGTACATATTCTGAGGAAAAGGAAAATAGATTTAAAATAACTTAGCTTGACAAAATAGTTTAAATTACACTCTTTATAATATTTACATGTCCTAAGAGGTAAGGACTCTTCTGTATTATAATTAATGTAAATTGTTGATAATTTGACTAATAGAATTTTTATTAGTATGTGGTAGTAAGTTAAACCTTCATAAGTAGAATCCATAGATACATAATTTTCAGGAAGAACTGTTAGTTTTTACTTTGGATGCTTTTTTTTCTACCCATAAACTTTAGTAAGAAGAGGGGGAAAAACATATTTCCAAATGGGAAACTCAGAACGAGTCAATCCAAATAAGCTAACTAACACTTTTAAAGTAATTCTCATCCTTATAAATTGCCTTCTTGCAGGAAACAGACCTTATCCTGACTTTTAATATTTCAATGCACCGATCTTGGTGGATGGAAAATGGACCAGGATGTACGGTGACATCCGTGACACCTGCCCCAGACTGGGCCCCAGAAGACCATCGCTACATCACGGTCTCAGGGTGTCTTCTGGAGTACCAGTACATAGAAGTGGCTCATAGTGCCCTGCAGATTGTCCTCGCAGTAAGTGTTGACAGCCAACCACTCCTTTTAGTGCTTCCGGAATTGTTTTATTTCTGTGCAGTCTCAGTGTGCACCAGTGGACATGCAGGTAACATGTGGCTATTTGCTTTTTCCTAATTAATGCCACTTTTAATAGGAATTTTAAGATTAAGACTTTCCCTGGACTGAGCGTGCTGATTCTTTTCAGCCATCGCTAAATAGACATTGGTAACTTCAGCATTTTACATACGAAATCTAGCCAGTTAAGGTTTGATGGTTTGGCTTTTGGTGGACTTTTCCAAAGATTCTGAAGGGGAGATCAGAGAGTCGTCACCACCAATATGCTGCAGTACCAAAATTCATGAGATTTTAATAGATATCCTTCCCCTCAACCTATGCTTCTTCCCGTGTGTACTGTTAGTCCTGAAACACCTTCTCCATTTGCCTTAACGTCTTCTTCCTAGATTTCCCAAGTACCATCTATCACGTTTTAGCCCCGCCCCCTTCCAGACAATTCAGCTTTTCTATGAATTCTAGTTCTAGGACAATCATTTCCTCCCTTTTCACAGTACTATACTGATAAAGAACTCTCCTAAATCCTTTGTATTTGTGTATCTGTAGAACATATTTGTATAATACATGCCTATGTTAGAGAAAGCATATTATTTTAAATTGTATCTCCGTGGCAAAGAAATAAGATAAATAACATACCCCTTCATAGGAAAAATGTTAACTAAGGCTAAATGAATAATTTTGTAGAATTTATAAAATTAAGGCAACTTTATTATACATGACTCCATTTAGTTATTATAGATCTATCCTTGCCAATTCACATATATGTTTCTCAGACTCCATGTAGATCTGCAGTTAATGTGCATAGTCTTAAAATAGTTAACAATAAATAATGAAGGTAGGATATTGTTTTTAACTTTTTCTTTAGTTAATCACTTTGGGAATGATATCTCACAGCTCTTAATTAACAAGACATCGGTTCTGGGTAGAATGGAATCAATTAGTTCACATTAAAATCTTTTGGAATTAAGAAAAACTATGTGAGCATGTGTGTATTCAATTATATAACAAATATATACACACACATAATCCAATTATAGAGCTGATATTTTGGCTGCTAGATTTTTTAAAATGAGGAATATACATATACATACACAATACACATATTTTAGTTTATATATAAATTATACATATATGTGTGTGTGTGTGTATACATACATATAACAATAGGCTAAGTATACTGTGCTAGTAAACACATTGCAAATCTGTGTGACAAAAACCACAGAAGTTTATCCTCTGAGTCAGCAGGAAGTTCTACCACTTCTGTCGCCAAGGAAACCAGGCAGTGGAGCAGCCAGCGTCTGAGTCAGCATGGGCTGCCATGCCAGAGAGCAGAGAGATCTGGAGCAAAGCAGTGCTCCTCAGTGGGAGGAGAAGCTCATTGGTCACAGTCCCCCCAGATCACAAAATGGCCAGAAAGAAAGGAGTACTGTAAATATTTGGAAACCAGCATAAATCATTTTTGCAATATTTCAGTTATGTTCTTAGTTAAAGTGATGAGTGATCTCCCTCAAAATGTCCTACCTGAGACCCTTCTTAATAAACAAAACTTTCTATAATATGTTTAAACTCTAAAACTGTTCATCTTGATTATCTTGAGATAAAGATTAGTTAGATTTGATGGAATGGGAGTAGTCATTTTATTACTTAAAATCCATTCAGGTGAAGTATTCATTTTCACATGGTATAAGTAAAATATTTCTGGTTTTAGGGGACAGATAAAACATTCTCATATATGTGTTAGGGAGAGGTTGTGCATAAAACATTCCTTCATTTGGGACTTCCTCCTGTACTGTACCCAAACATTTTGGAAAGCTTCCATTTATGTGTCAAGGGTGCCATAAAGATAGAGTTTATATGCATGGATAGGTATATTTTAGAGAGTTAGTTGAAATAATGTGTGTATGTGCAATTCACAGATTTATTAAACCCCACATAAAATTTTGGCACATGTGTAATTTTCTGTAAAGTACATTTGAATATGGAAGCATATGTTGAGGTTGACATACTGCTCAAAGAAAAAAGAATTTTTATATAAGTAAAAACCATCTGTATAGGCAAAGTAGCTACAGTACAAAGATGGGTGGAGTGTCCCTAAGAGCTATTATAACTGATGTTTCAAGCTACTGGCTCTGAATTCTGTCTACATCGCCCCCAACTGGGTGGAGAAATAGTTTGAACAAGCTATACAGGATGTGGCGTTTTACCTCTCCCCTTTCTACCTTCTGTCCAGGGGGCATCTTCTTTTGCAACGCCAACTGTGGATCACCTGAGAGTAATGCAGTAACAGTATACCCAAGCCAATTGCTTGGAGAAGTTTCAATACCCTTTCTGTCTTTGGGCTTACTTTTGCCCAGTTAGCCTTGGGCTGAAAGTATCTGTTGTGCAGAAAATTTAGCAAATCTTTAGTAGTTTTAGAATGCAAATAAAATGGGGTTTATCTTGAATGATTTGCTTCACCTGGTTAATGGAAGCCTTCCTATACTTAGGCTGATCACTCTGTTGTCATGATTGAGAAATGAAATGGTGTCTTGAATCTCTGCCCCTCTCATTTCTGTATTACCCAAATCATTCCTCTGACAATCTAATGCTCAGTTCAGTCCGGTCCAGTGCACACTACGGGAGTACTTGGGCTCTGCTGGCATCCAGAGAACAGATGACAGGATCCCTGACCTTGAGGCTGTCACAGTCAAAAGTGGGGTAAGGGTCCTAAGGATTCAAACCGGGTGCAAACAGGCACTTCTCAGGAATGTGATAGACAGAAAATACAGTTTGTGCATTTGTGTGGCATAACCATGGCTTCTTAGTTACATCCTGTTTTTTGTAAAGTCAGCCAAACTCTTCTCAGTCGCTCTTCTTGTTTTCACCAGTCTTTGAACCTGCTCCCTCTTCCAGGACATCTGGCTTAGGTCCGCTGCTCTTCCAGCTACTGCTCTTGATTGACTCCAAATCTCTCCAGTTCTTTTTCTCCACCTTCAGGAAGCCTTTCTTTCACAGACTCCTGACCCCTGGCATGCCTGTCACCCCATTGTTCAATTTTCTGCCAATCAACTCCTAGCTGATTTTGAAATTAGCATTTACAAAGCCCACATTTGCATTGCACATACATAAGATATCTCTTGTCTACAGCCAAAGGAAGAGTTATCCATGTAATTGGGAAGAGGGGCTATTAATCACACAGCCTCCAGCCAAGCAGAAAGGATTGCCAGAACACCATAATGATGAGCCAGGTGTGAGATTTTGCGCTCTCCTCCTCCAGCAGCATTTTCTTCTAGTTAGTATCAGATATCACGTTCAAAAGGAATGCAGGTGTGCAGTTTTAATATAACCAAAAATAAAAATAACCCACACTTATAAAATAGATCAAATGAATATGTATGGGGAGAGCCGGGGTGGGGGGATCAGCAGGAGAGATGGTGTTGTGCACCCTACAAAAAATTATACTGATTTCTTCAAATGTGTGATTGCAACTGCATGGTTTACAAAATGTGTTCACAGGAATTAAATCCTTGTATGTGTTAACAGTCCTGTGAGGGCAGCAGAACAGGTTAAAAGCCTTTTCCATCCCAAGATTTCTTAGCAAGTAAATAGGGAGGACACATGCTGACCTAAGTTTTTCTCTGGCACCAGCCATAGGAAATAGGTTTCAAGCTGCATGCCAGTATCAGATGATGGGTGATGGATTCCTGAAGCCCCCACCCCCAAATTCCTAGTTCTTCAGTGGCAAAGAATCCTGTGATTGATTAGCTCTGTCTGCCAGGTGAACAGAACGGTGGTGTTTGTGCTTTGTATTTGCTCTGCACACGTTACACCTCACTTCCTGTAACCAACACAATGAAAAGGGAGGATGCTTTGCAAGGAAATATAAATAAATCTAGCTTTCAGGAAAAACATTGATTACAATAACTGAAGTTACTTTATATTTTTAAATATATGTTAAGATTCCAAATACTTTATTAGAAAGGAAAAACAAAAACAAATACTTAATTTCTCTTTGCTCTAGCAACCTCCTCAGAATCAATACTTCTAAATTCAATATAAACTTCAACCAAGATTGCCTGGGGGGGGGGGGGAATTCCTTTACTTTCTTCATTCCTTTTACTTCTGACACACTTCTAAATTCTTATTGTTTTCATCAGATTAATTATTAATATTTTTAAGAGGATATTGATAAAAATGTAAATAAGCTTACTGTTTCCCACAGGTATTAAAATTGCGAATTAGCAGGGAAGTCATAAAAGACTTTAGATTAGGTTCTAATACCTGGTGCTGTCCATAGGTTCATCCCTCACTTATACATATTTCCTATTCAGGAAAATGTGTACCTTTTAGCATTTATAAAATTGTGGAAATCATTGTTTAACAGATTGTGGTAAAAATTTTTGAAGATAAAATATGTCACTTCAATTGGATGGAGTCACAGATGTTTCTAATTATTTCCAGTTAATGATAAATATTTGCCATTCTGCTAGCTAAGACTTGCTAAGAATATCATTAGTGAAGAAATTTTCAGAATCCTCTATCCAAGTGGATTTGGAGTTGTGTTGGGAGTGGCGCATGAGTATTTCTTTGGATGTTACTGATGTGTGTGGTAATGGCCTCATTGCACTTGACTCCCTCAGTCTGGAAATGCTTATTCAAAAGGATTGGATTATCAAAGATTTGGGTCCTGATTTTCATGTAGCTTAAGATATTGCTGTTAATGTAGTAAGTAGTAAATAACTAGCCTGTCATGAAACACTGAATCTGTGTTTCTATACTGTGTCAACCATATCTCCACACTGAAGAGTGAGGTGGCTTTTAGAGCGGAACTGAAAACTGGATCTTCTGACACCTAGTTCAGCGTCCAGACTGTACAACAATTTTCTTCCTAGCACAAAACTGCTTTCTTCCTGTGATGGAAATGGACGGAATGACAAGCACTCAGCATCTTTCCTGGCACCTGTGAT